TAGACCCTCGACTCTTGGCATGCCAACTATACCCCTAGCTCTCATGACACATAACATGGGCATTATCATTTATTTCATTTCATATTCACAAATTCATATTACTTATCTCTTATCGCATGTCTGATCTCTTATAATCATGTAATCACATAGCTCATGTCATTTCTTGTGAAATCACACATATCATGTAATACATATAACTCCTATACTTTCTCATATTCACATAGGTAATATCATAGGACTTATATCTTTTCATATGGTTTATGTTCTATTCTCTTATATTCACATACATGTAATACATATCAAACATGTTTACATAAATCATTTCTATATAATTCACATGTACTTATATTTTTTTTTCATATACTCACATAGTCATATAATATAATATTTCATATGACCTCATATATCACATCACTTATATACATATCCAAATATTCATAGATATATATCACTTAAATTATTCCTATTTACATAATTTATGGTCATATAGTTCCTATCACAAGTCACTTATCTTATCTCTTCTTCTCATATGTTCATATTTATCATACAACACATAAGTTTTATTGCATATTTATATCACATTCATATATCACTAATTCATAATATAATTTACATCGCATCATCTATCTTATTCTTTATTTCTTGGTATGGACTTATATTACATAACCTATATTATACTGATAAACATATATTACTTCTATTATTTCTTTTATATACAAATTAATCAATTTACTTAATTCAATTTCATATAACTCCTATAATTTTCTCATATCACTCCATATTCAAGTTTCCTAATTGATACATTATTCTCATTTCATTCTATAACTAATCTTATTTAGTTTCTTTCAATTCACATTAAATCATATAACGCTATTATATTAAATTCTTATAATTAATTATACCACTATGTACACTCATAATCCCATTATTCATATAACTTTTCCACATAATGACCTAGTTTCTATCGTTTCTCGTGGATTCACTTTCATCATATTCTTTTATTTTTACATATTTTATTTCATAATCCTATACTCCCTTTATCATATGATTTATGTAGGTTCTCTTATAACTCTTCATAAACATATATTTTCCATTCTATATATTACGTAGATCTTATCATATGACTTATTCTTTATACTTACATAAATTATAACACATACAAGAACATATCAGCTCATATAATCAATCATACATACATTTCATGTCATTCGCCTACTTATAATCAACACTTCATGCATAATAAAACAACTATCAGAAATAGACTTATCACAAGTCCAATTTCCTTATAATCCTATAAAATAAGATGCACTCATCTGGGCCTCACTAAGTTAATATCGATCTCTCATATTTGCCTTGATCGATCTTATTTTCCAAATGTTCCGGAAATGATTTATGCTCGGTATCTACACAAATATACAATTTAAGGCAATCTATCAAAATCTAACCTTATAACTTGATACTAATAGCTTAAACGACTTTAAGAAATCAACATTTCCATTTTCCTTTAGGGGGTATCGATACCCTACTGGGGGTATCGATACCCTCATGACATTCTGGAATTCTGCTCGTTTGAGAGGGTATTAGTACCCCTTTGAATGGGTACCGATTCCCTCTATCCCAGAAATCATTTTTGAGCTCGAAAATCCACTTGATTCAATTCAAACGCTTCATCTTTCATCCCATTTCATATTCCTAACTTACATATACATACTTAAACTCATTAATATTCATTTATCTCATCTTTAACCTCAAAATTCCATTTTTCTTATGGAAATCAATAACCATACCAAAGTTTCCATGTTATCCAAACTTAATTATAACACTTCTAACTTCTTATTCTTATAGATGACAAGTCAAATTCATCTCCAAATTCGTTTAAACCTTCTTATTCAAAATTTCACTTAAAACCCCATATTCTTTAATCTCTTCTAACATCTTCATCTTTGAGTTTTTACTTATCTTTAGACTTCCTTAAGATTTCTTACTTTCCAAAGAATCAAAACCAACTTAGAATTTAAATAATAATCATCTAATAAAAATTCTCACCTTAGCTCTTGGCTTCCATGCGTGAAGAAGAAAGGAGAAGAAGAAAATCTGGAAACTCATTTCCCCTCATTCCCACGTTTTTATATCCCTTAAAAGAGAAATAAAATCTTCTCTTAGAAAAGACCATAATACCCTTATTACTTTCAAATTTACTATTAAATCCAACCTCAAAATTCTCCAATTAAAATTCTAAACTTTTTAACTTATTTCAAAATTGAACATAATACTTTCAAAATTCACCTTTAAGTCACTAGCCCGATATTGAGGATGTTACAGAATATATGTTTGTCTCCTTAAGATCTGTTCAGTGATGACTCAGAAGATGAACTATGGACAAGAATATTTGGTATTAAAGTGTAAACACCCTGGAAGGACAACGAATTGACCAGTCGATAAGTATTAGTTCTGGGAACTATTCATCTAAGAGTTGTTCGATAATCCAATCAATCGACATAGATTGTAAATGTCCTGAACCTTCATTTCTTCCTTATCAGCTCAATTCACATTCTGAACAACTGATGATTCCATCAGTTATTGATCTCTTCCAATAGTGATTCTAAATTCCAACATTCTATCAACATACTGAAGATTTGTGTGTCTCTTCCTGCTAAGATTATCATGTACCTCTGAATAATATCTATAAACTCTGGTGTGTTCCCTAATCACATAAATATTTTATTTGATTTCCGACTTGAATTTTGTTCTGATACATTACCTGAATTCTGTTATGATTTCTGATCTGGATTCTGTTCTGATATCTTATCTGAATTCTGTTTCATTTCTGATATCTCCGTTTACTGACGGAGAAATGTTTTATATACGCGTCTGAAAATCTATTTTATTTCTTCGTACTGATAAATGATTTTATGAGTTTACATGTTCTGATAAAAAAGTTTTAAATTTTCCTCTATTTTTACAGTGAGTCGCTCCGGTGACCCTAATGTGACACTCTAGATCGGATCAAGTTACCCATATCGGTCTGGAGGGTTACAAAAACCAAATGAAAGAGTTCACGAAATGACAAAATATGAAATGGTTGAGAGAAGTTGAATGCACTAACAATTTGGAGTGGCCCAACCCTCCTAAACCTACATCCTTCACCTTGACAATCCTTGTCAAAGATTTCTAAGGCTGACTTCATTAAACCAAATTAGAATCTCAAGGAGTGCTCCCGAACCTGAATCTCGTGAAATTACAGTTGAAACAATGTGTAACCGATCTATGTACACCGAGATAAGTCAAACAGATTTACTTGGTTAAATTGAATTTAAATGTTAGTCATTTTGCCAAAACAACATTTTGGTCTAGCGGCAAGAGGCTTGTGAGTTGTGATGCATGAGAGCTTGGGTTCTAATTTAGTAATCTTTGCAACACCGTACCCCCAACATTGTCCCAAAGATGAAAAAGAAAAAAGTTTAATATTCTTTTATACCACACACTGTCTTCATTAGTGCTGTCTAGGGCGTTGGACGACTTTAGGCACTAGTCCAAGGTGCCAAAAAAGTGCTCTCCTAAGTAAAGGGAGGCACAATATAAAATAAGCTTAAGATGTATAATTATAATATCTAAAAGGTAATCTAATTTATACCACAAAATATTCCAAAATTTCTCCTTTTTTGTTGGCAATATGCATGAATTTCTTTTGGTCTCATGTCAGTTATTGAATACTTAAATGGTTAAAGGAGGGTAAAACGTAACATTGAAGTTTTTGTCATATCAAAACAACAGTTAGTGCAAGACTAACAATATCTTGGCTCAAACTTTAGTAAAATTGAAAATACCAAATATAGCCCTAAAATAAGGCTTGAAAAAGAAGTAAGATCCTACAAAATAACCTTAATAATCTAAAATAGCTTAGATGTATGCAAAGATTTAAATCTGTAAAATATGTATAAAAAGGTCCGAAAAGATTAATGTCTTAATCCCTCAACTAGGATATTTCCATCTTCCATTTCTTGGACAATATGCATAGATGTTATTGCTTAATTGTTGTAGAACATGTAGTGACAAGGTTTCTTTAACCTTGTGCTTATAGGATTCTAAGGTGCTCTGACATGCCATTTTATCTTTCTAGTTAATGTGAAAATATGGTGATGCTCACCCAATTCCAACTTCCTTAGGTACCACCCTATCTTGATACAGGTGAAGAAATAATTATCAATACTGAAGATGATTCTCACCTTGGCAGGTAAATTTCACTACAACATTTCTCCTATAATAAATTGCATCACCTACTTTCTTTGTATCAAATATTTGAGGCTTTTTGTGGACATTTGGTTGCTTTTAGAGAACATTTTGTATGTCAAGAATGGTTTATCTGCTTGCTTCTGGCTTTTAACCTTTTTCTCCTCTCTGTTTCCTTTTTTCAGGGCGAACTAATACATTTTCAGGGGAAGGTTTTGAAATTGGCGGTGTGCTTTTAGTCTGCTGCAACCATATTTATTCCAGATTTTTTTTTATCTGAAATTTGGTTGGCCTCTATGATGTTGTTATGCTTCAGACCGTAGAGGAGCATGTTTTTCTTTTTCATTTTAAAGAATTAAATCAATAAAAATATATTTTGGGGAATATTTCAAAATGTTTTTCTTGGAGAAACCTATAGAAGTTGTTAGGTGTGTCGAGTGAAATTGCTGCATTGGATAACGTAGTTGAACCAAAATGAGTAAAACAGAAGTGACAAGCAATAACTTCTTTTATGCACATTATTGTCGCCAACATGCTTCTATGTTCCTCGTCTTCTGTTGAACTGTCATATTTCCCTCTCCCTGTTTTTTCACTTTGGAAATATCCTTAATTTGTTTTAAAGTTCATTTTAACCCACGAATGACATCTGATTATCCGCTACAGAACAAAGAAAAGAAAAAGAAAACATGACTTTGATCACAAACACTTGGTTTATTTAGCAAGACCCTTTAATATTATATTTATATATTTATTTTATAAATTAATATGGGGGGAAATGGAGGTTTCCTTTACTGTGATAATAATACATTTGAGGGCTTGTTCATGATTCTCTCGTGAACTTCTCTGATGTGGAAACATGGACAGAAACATCGGAACAGATGGAGGCTAAAATCAATCACACATCCAAAAAACCCACCTGATCTCTCTCTTCTACCTGTCTGCTGCACTAGAGGCAATCCATAGACGGGATTCGGATCCATGTATTGCTGATAGGATGGAGTTGCTGCTGTGAAAATGAGACTTGACTCAGTATCTTGTGTGGGGTGTTGAACCTGATCGGTTGGGGATGAAAATTCAGGGAATGGCTCAGCCTGCTCTGGCGTTGGAAACTCATCCTGGGTCAACTCAGCCTGGAGCCATGGCGGTAACGGTGGCGCCGAAGGCTGCATTGAGGAGCTCAAGTAACTGCTTTGATAATAATGGGAGGAATGCACTGAGGCGCTGGAGTAACAGATATGGCAATAGGAAGGAGAGAATGAAGATGAAGGCCGAGGGGCAATGGACTTTCTCTTTTTCGACCAGAATTTGAGTTTCTTCACAGCTTTAAACATTTTCATGGTTTTCATTTCCAGAACACCGAGTTTGCCGATGCTGAAATAATTGCGCTGCTTTTAACGCGTCGTTTATTCATAAGAAAAATGCGCTTCAAGAAGCGGATTTTAGATTCCCTTTTACAAGATTTTCAAATTTTATGACCGTTGCCACAACGGCACTTCACCTTTACTTGAGAAAAGGTTTTATGGAGGACTATGTCATAAACACTAAATAATTGAGCCAAAGAGCAAGTTTCAAATTTCCTTTTGGTGCATAAATGATTTTTCGTCAAAAATAGGTGTCCAATGTTTTCTCCGTTATACTTTTAGGTGTCTACCGTTAAAAAATCGTTAAGTGTATCACGTTCAGATTTTAAACAATATTTTATTTTTTAAAAATAAAAAAAATATAAACGTGACATGTGTCACTTAATGTTTTTTTAACTGTAGACACCTAAAAGTATAACAGAGAAAACATTAAACACATATTTTTAACGAAAAATTCTTTAGGCACTAAAAGTCAATTTAATGTATAATTTAGACACCTAAAAGTGTATTAAGTCATTATGATATAATAATAAGACTTAAGAGTCACTTTTGTCCTGTTGTACACCCAATTTATCATTTTTGCCCCTTTGATATTTTCAAATCAATTTAACCCTTAAAGTTATATAATTACAACATTTTATACCCTAAGTCCTAATTTAAACCCCTAAATCCTACACTCGAAACTCTTAACTCCTAAACCTAATTTAAAATCTTAAACAATAATAAATATTTTAAATATTGATGTAATCGAACAATTTTGATAGCTAAATTGATGCGAAAATGATAAATTAAGTCAATCACAAGAACAAAAATAACCCTTAAATTTGATAATAAAAAATATATCAAAAATCCATTTTGAATATAGAAAAAATCAATCCAATTCATTCAATTAACAAATTTACATAAAAAAATGGTCTTATCCGAACAGAAAGACAAAACCCGTTATAGTTTTGATACTATATATTAAACATTTAACATAAGATCAACCGATGATCAATTAAAATATTCAATTAAAAATATATGATTATAAAATTATTATAATAAAAATATAACTAATTATTAATGAAATTCTAACTTAATTAATATGGTTTTTCTTATTAAAATTATTACGGTTATCATTGTAACTAAAACAATCAAATATGTATAGTCCAGGTTAGTTATTGATCGAGTGTTTTGTGTTTTATTATTTTTAATCTATTTTTTATGCATCCGATGTTTCAAGACTGAGTGATGAGTCATTTCTTTGTCATAGCTCCTGTGATGGTCCATTTGTTTAAAAGGAAAAAGGGTGATTAGGATCTTAAGCTTCTAAAACTGGGTAATTAACAATGCTCGGCCTTGGGTCCAACCAACCCTTTGATTAGCTAATGGCCATGTATACAATACATTAGAGAAAACAATGTGCTTATTGCTTATCCATTAATAATAATACCTATAATAAAATACAATTATACAAAAAGTGCTTATCAACCTCAGCTTAATTAACTATTTTTTACTCTTTCTGATAAAATAAGCCTAATTAACTTTGATCTCAAACTTCTGCTATCAATGGGTTTGGTCACGCAAAACTGGCTTATAGAAATATAGCTTAAGGTTTTATGTTTGAGGGATAATTATATTCATGTTTAATATAATTCAAGTTAGCTAGTGGATAATGCCACCTTGTCTCAACCGACCATACACACGAAACGATTGTGTGATATAAATTAATTAAAATTAGTATGATCAATAATATATTCATATAAATTAAATACAATTTTATTAATAATCAATCGGTACAAGATCATGAATTTGAGGGATCAAGATAATGAATTTGAATTTTGATATTGTGAACAGAACAATTAGATTGAGAAATTGTCTTATAATAGGTATCTACAATATTTGGTGTGGATTAATCAATCAACATATTAGATACTAATATGATTTACCCAAAAAATATAATTATATTACATTAAACGATAATAGCTGGCATTCAACAATAGCTTCAACTTCAAAAAAGTTTAATTAACGCATGAACCAACTTACCTCAGTGGTTAAGGGAATCGTTGTTGTTTCTAGAGATTACGGGTTCGAGCTTCAACAACTGTAGCATGGTGGTTGAGTGTTCATTGTCAAATGGTTGAAGAGTATTTAGAAAAAATAAAACATTCTATTGAGAATGACGACCAAATCAAAACTTAACAACCTTTATAAAAGCTCATTGTCTCTCTCGAATGAGACACTTTACGAAGTGATAAAGAAGTGGAGAGCGAACCAAACAACCTGCAAGGTTCTGCTTCGCTACACAATTCTGATTACATCGATAAACAACCTTTTACCAAAAGAGAGGATCTGACTATACGTGATCACCAACAAACCAATCAGAAAACAAATGTCGTGATAGTTTTTGTGCGAGAACCAAAACGACTGCAAACGTATGTAAAAAACGTACCAACAATAATAAAGATCGTGCCACAAGAACAGAGAAAATGTGTGCCACAAGAGCAGAGAAAAATGTGTCATAAGAACAAATATTCTTATTCAAAATTAAAAAGACTCGGGAAAAAAAAGAAAATAAAGGATATAGTATAAAAAACAAGAGAACTAATAATCCTCTGCGGTTGACAACCAATATTAAAATTGGTGTCGTCGCCGGTTAAATAAAATTCGAAAAGAAAGAAAAAGACGGCACAAAAATATTAAGAGAAAATTAAGATTGATTAATAAAAAAATAATTAATGTATTCATTTGTTTAAGGAATGACAACGGACCACAATATTAATTATTTGTAGTCCGTGTGTTACCTAAATCCAAGTATAAACTACATTATATATATGCACTATAAATATAAGAGTATAAGCATAGTGTCTTGTTTTCAAATAGATAATATGTGATGAATTGAGTAATCAATTCCCAATTTCTCAAGCCCCAATTCCCAGCCACTAATTAATCTTCCATAAAGCCAAACCCTAAACACTGATCTCAGTGGGAAACCCACTGAAGACTTGAGAGCTATACCCAACTATAAGAAAAAGGAATCAAGACCAAAGACAAAACTCAACACAGACTGAGCCACTTGCATCAATTTGCACTAAGTTGCCCCACTTTGAAATAGTGATTTATGACTAATCTAGTGCTTGCTAAGATAATCATTTATTTATTTGTTAGGGAATTTAGATAATCGTTTATTACTGAAAGTTTAATTGTACGTTGTAACTCAATTTGAATTGTTAAGATTGGATATTGGAAAGTTAGTAATTATTTAATTTATGTACCAAAATAAATGGGTAAAGTACACAAATATTCTGTTTACTATATAATGTTATTTTATTGAGTCTTATGACTATTAAAAGTTACAAAATGGTATTCCGACTATAGAATGCTTCTTTGTTGAATTCTCCAACTACTAAAAGTTACAAAATTGTCACTTGACTATTTAATATGGTCCAAACTCGTCATTAAAAATTGATGATGATTTGAGTTGAATGTTAACATGATGATTGTGATACAATAAAATATGATCTTAGAATCTCAAACGACTATCATATCCCAATTAACAAGTTAGCGTCCCATTCAAATAATCATTAATTTTTAACAGACAATGACGAATTTAGAACACAATGAATAATCAAGTAATCATTTTATAATTTTTAATAGTCGAGGAACCCAACAAAGCTATATCCTATAACTGGAGGATATTTTATAATTTTTAATAATCAAGAAACTTAATAAAATAATATCCTATAATCAAATGACCATTTGTGTACTTTAAAAAAATAACATCAGATCAAGTGCTGCAGTTTTATCCTTTTTAGAAAAATTATGTTAACGACCAAACTCGATTAAAACATTATAATAGTAAAAGATAATCTTAGCAGATCCACTACAGTTCTAATTTGTATTCTTTTATTTAATTATTAAAAGAAATTAATATTCAAATATTTTTGTTAAATGTTTATTTAATTTCTCAACAATATTTCGACATTATTGTTTAATCCTTAAAACGCACTTTTTTTTAATTAATTTGAAATAATTATATGACAATATATGTTCAAATAATACTCTCAACCATATGCCATTGTATAAGGGTGTAAATGAACAGAGCGTTTGGTGAATTGTTTGTGAACCGTTCGTATGACGTTCGTTTATGTTCATTTGTTAAATTAAATAAACGAACATGAACGAAAAAACATTTATGTTCATTTAATGAACGAACACGAAAAGATATGTGTTCGGTTCATTTATGTTTACGAACAAGCTCGCTTATCGACTCGTTCATTTATATTCATGAACAAGCTCGTTTACCTGGTTCTCCTTTTCTTTTTTTACATTTTAAACATTGGTGAAGTTAGGGATTAAATTGAACACATGATAAAAGTTGAATTTTAAACTATAAATTTTAAGAAGTTTAAGCACTAGTGACATAATTTTATCATTTTTCTTTAGCTTGCAAATGACACAAAATTGAATATATAAACAAATGATAAACAAACACTAAACGAACATTAAATGAACATTAAACAAACGTTAAATGAACATTAAACAAACGTTAAACAAACATATTCATGAACATATTAGTAAACATATAAACGACTGAAAAAAATAACAATAATTATTTTACCATTGAGATCGCTCTTTTTTGTTCTCCTTAAAATACATTTTTAATTTGTAGATTTAAAGAATAATAAATGAAAATATTTTGGTTACGATTTCCCCCTCAAATGTCTACTCTCTCACATAAGTTAGTAAGTTTAATTTTCCCCATTTTTTTAATTTTTCTAAATTAGCAAGTTAATATGCAAACTAATATTTAGATACATTATTAAAAATCAAATGAAAACAAATAGTATTTTTGAAGAAAAAAAATCCCTTTATAGGTCGGGTGTTTTAGACATGTTAACAGAGTCGTCTTAGACATTTTAGGGTCCTAAGCGAAAACTTAAAAATGTCTTTATAAAATGAAAGTATATTTTATTATCTTGAACAATTAATTCAATATTACATAAATAAATCATAGAAAAATGATTAAATTTTATG